TGTGGAATGAAGTCCTAGAGGCTCTCAAAGATGGACCTGTATGTTGGGCTTTTTCCCCCAGCTGTAGTTTTGCTGTCCCCAGGCACAAACCCTTGGCTGAGTTAAAGAACAGCCTCGGACCTAAAATAATCTTATTTTAGTGTAAACACCCCCAGCAGGTTTAAATGGGACAGATTTTGCATATTAAGATTTGTTGAGAATCTTTCTGTGACCAAAGTAATCCCTTGTATTTAATGGTGGGGGTTTGGGTTAAAATGGTGGGGGTTTGGGTTAATTTACGTGTCTTTCAGCACTAAGTTGATTCCAATGTTCTCTTTGCAGAAATTCCTGAATAAAGTGGAGGAGGCCTTTCTTTGTATTTGCTGTCAGGAGGTCGTGTTCCGGCCAGTCACCACCGTGTGCCAGCACAACGTCTGCAAGGTGGGCTGGGCTCCTGGGGAGGGTTTGTGAGGGTGGTGAGGCCCTGGAATGGAATTCCAAGAGCAGCTGGATCCCTGGCAGTGCCCAGGGCCGGGCTGGACGGGATTTGGAGCCCTGGGACAGTGGGAGGTGTCCCTGCCATGGCAGGGCTGGCGCTGGGTGGGGTTTAAGGCCCTGGCTGGAATTCCCTGATCTCTGCTGTGTCCATCTCTCACTTGGGACCCCTTGGGGCTGTGCCAAAGGAGCCCAGCTCGCTGTCCCTGACCCCTGCTGGCTTCTGTCCCCAGGACTGCCTGGACAGGTCCTTCAAGGCCTCGGTGTTCAGCTGCCCCGCATGTCGCTACGAGCTGGGCCGCAGCTACAGCATGGAGGTGAACGAGGCCCTGCAGAGCGTCCTGGCCCAGCTCTTCCCCGGCTACGGCAGCGGCCGGTGATCCCCCAAAGCACTTCTCCCTCCCTCCCCACACCTCCCTGGGCTTAATTTAAAACAACAAAAAAAATTAGTCTGTGTTTCTCCCACCCCCAGCAAAAATGGTTTTAAGTCTTCCTTGTTTTTTTTTTTTTTAAAAACCCTGTAAACTCCAAGGATTATCCTTTTGTATGTTTGTGGATTTTGTTTTTGTTCTCTATGTTGAACTTTGCATTTTTATAATTTTTTTTTCATCCCCTTCAAACCTGTCATTCATCAGCACAGAATTATTTGTTTCTAATGGACTGAAAGTGCTTCCGGTGAGGCTGCTAATGATGAGGAAAGTTCTCAGAGTGCCCCTGTGCCCCCTTTATTTTTATTTTTTATTCCAAAAATGGCTTGGTTGCTAGAACAATCTTCACTGTCTGGGGATTTGGCCATCAAGGTAGACTTGTGCATCACCTTGGCAGCATTTTGATACTCAATTTGTACAAGATGGTTCCTGGCTTTTGTACCACAAGTGGGTTTTTACTATTTTTTTGTAAGAACTGGGTTTTATACATTTGACAAAAAGCCATTTCGTGCTAATTTTGTATCTCAGAACCAGAAGGCTGCTTGCTTTAGAGCCAAGTGGTTGGAGCAATATGAAGTACTACCTCACTGGACTTCTCTTGGGAAGGATTTGTTCAGCCAGGTGCTGTCCCCTGTCCCGAAATGCCATTGTGGAATATCCTAAAGCCATTCTTAAGTGCCTTTTGTCCTTTGCTGGAAGACTGGGCTCTGAATCACCATCAAGGTCTCCTTTTTTTTTTTCATAAGCACTGAATTGTTGGGACTTGCCAGCCGGATTTTTTGGGAGCATGGATCACTGTAGCTGTGTGTGATTAGTGGGGATTTACAGAGGATCAGGTTTCCTAGTTATAGGTGTATTGGGGAGTTTTTTTACTTTGTCTCGCTGCATTTCTACCTGGAAATGAAAAATAACCAATTCTGGCTTTCTAATGAACCATTTTCTATTGGCTATGCCTGGAGAAGGCTCCCTTGGTTTTCCTCTACCATTACCAAAGTTTACAGTTTGATACCTCAGCAAGACAGGGATGTTTTTAATCACACTTTTCTGCAGACAGACTGGAACAAATGTGCCTATTATTGGTTTGCTCAACTCTTACCCTTTGGAAAGTTATTATGTTAATATGTTAGGGAAAAAGACCCCGCAACATTTTATAAATTTTTGGTGAATTTGTCAATTTTTTGTATAATGTGCAAGTTGATGTTCTCAAAATAAATATCTTTTCAAATTAATTGTTGACTGTTCTCCTTCACTTCTTTCTATCCAAAGTGAATTTTCAGACCAAAGTGTTTGTGCGGGACTTTGAATTTATGTCCTATTAAGCCAAGCCTTTTATTTTTCTAAGGGCTGTGATTTTCATTATGATTTTTCACGCAAATTTGGAAAATCCTCATTTGCTGTTCTTCAACATAATTGCTTCTAGGCACTAGTGAGGGTATGTGTTATATTCAAGATTCCCCAAACTTTTCTTTTAACTTGCATTAGATTTCCACTGCTCCAGAATCCAAACATCAACTGGCAGTTGGAATTGTTTGTCCATTTAATGAATAAACTCCAAAATTGTTGCAAGTGCCAAGTCCTGCATCATATTTGAGGTGTTACAGGAACAAGTTTGAGCTCCACAAACCAGAGGAATAAATTCAGCCACTGAGGTTTTCACAATTGCAGATGAAGGAAATAAAGCAGCATTAAGGTGGTAGAAACAAAACCTATGAAATTAAGCAGCAGTAGCACCATCTACCCTCTTTAAAGTAAGTTTATTTTTAAGGTCATTGTTAACATTAAACACTTTCAGATATTTAGATTTCATTGAAAATGTCCTTCCACTTTTTATTCTGTGTCGTGATGGGAAGAATTGGGGGTGAGTGAGTGAAAGTGAGGAGTGTTTCTGCATTTAAATTGCAATAACTGCAATGATTTCCTTTGTTTATTTGTTTTGTTGTTATTTGGAACTTGAAAAACAAACTTTGTTTCCTCCATAGGTGCCAATGTACTGTTCTGTTCGTGGCTTTTTTAAGCAACAATTAGAATTCCTCTGCAAATTGGACACTTTCTGGTGAGCTCTGCCAAAATTATCTGTCCCAAATTACAAAGCCCTGCTCGGAAAATGCCTGTGCTGCACAGGGAGCGGGTTTGGCTGCGGGTACAAAGGAGTTTCGTGCTGGGGCTGATTCCCTGGGGTGATGTTTCACCTCCCGCTCACAGCCGGGTCTGTTTTTGGAGCAAATCCCCGAGATGGGAACGGGAACAAATTTTCCTGGGTAAAGACTGGGGAAGGGGAGTGACAGCAGCAAAATCCCAACCGAGGACCCACTTCTATTCTGGGAGTTCCCAGGCGGGCACAGACTCCATCCAAGCTCTGCTCGGGTTATTGAATGTGAATTGGCGATGCCCTGATCGATCGATCGATCGATCGCTCCCTGGGGCTGGCGAGGGGTCCCCGCTGTGTCCCGACACCCACAGGGATGGGGACCCCAACCCTCGTCCCGTCTGGGGGTGGCAGGGATGGGGATCCATGGTCCCTGCCGGTCACTGCTGCCCCCCAGCCACCGCTGTCCCCCCGATCCCAAATATCCCACCAGTCCCCAACGTCCCCTGATCCCAAATATCCCCCCCGATCCCAAATATCCCCCCAATTCCTGCTGTCCCCCAGTCCCAAATATCCCACCAGTCCCCAATATCCCCCCTGATCCCCAATATCCCCCGATCCCCAATATCCCCCCGATCCCCAATATCCCCCCCGATCCCCAATATCCCCCCGATCCCCAATATCCCCCGATCCCCAATATCCCCCCGATCCCCAATATCCCCCCGATCCCCAATATCCCCCCGATCCCCAATATCCCCCCGTGATCCCCAATATCCCCCCTCAATCCCCAATATCCCCCGCTCCCCAATATCCCCCCGATCCCCAATATCCCCCGATCCCCAATATCCCCCCGACCCCTAATATCCCCCTCACTCCCCAATATCCCCCCGATCCCCAATATCCCCCGATCCCCAATATCCCCCCCGATCCCCAATATCCCCCCACTCCCCAATATCCCCCCCGATCCCCTATATCCCCCTGATCCCCAATATCCCCCTGATCCCCAATATCCCCCCCGATCCCCAATATCCCCCCACTGCCCAATATCCCCCCACTCCCCAATATCCCCCCGATCCCCAATATCCCCCCCGATCCCCAATATCCCCCCTGATCCCCAATATCCCCCCCCGATCCCCAATATCCCCCCACTCCCCAATATCCCCCTGATCCCCAATATCCCCCGATCCCCAATATCCCCCGATCCCCAATATCCCCCCTGATCCCCAATACCCCCCCCGATCCCCAATATCCCCCCCGATCCCCAATATCCCCCCCGATCCCCAATATCCCCCCCGATCCCCAATATCCCCCCCTGATCCCCAATATCCCCCGATCCCCAATATCCCCCCCGATCCCCAATATCCCCCCCGATCCCCAATATCCCCCGATCCCAAATATACCCCCTGATCCCAAATATCCCCCCGATCCCCAATATCCCCCCGATCCCCAATATCCCCCCGATCCCCAATATCCCCCCAATCCCCAATATCCCCCGATCCCCAATATCCCCCGATCCCCAATATCCCCTGATCCCCAATATCCCCCCTGATCCCCAATATCCCCCCGCTCCCGCCATGCCCCGCCCGGCCGCGCGGGGGCGCTCTCTCGCCGCTCCCCCATTGGCGCAGCGCGGCCGCAGCGCCCCCGCCCCGCGCTGTGCGGCTCCTCACGTCCTCACCGCCCCGCCCAGCGCCCGACGGGCACCGCGCTCCGCCAATCAGAGCCCGCCCGGCGCCCGCCTCGCCCAATGGCCGCTGGGGGCGGGCCGCCGGCAGCAGAAGGTCGCGTGCGATTGGCGGACAGCGCCTGAGCGATGGCAACGCTCCCCGCTGCCCCGCCCGTCGGTGGGCGGGCCGTCCCTCCGCACCACCGACCAATCAGCGCCCGCGCTCTGCTTGTTATTCGTCGATCAGCCTCACCACTGGCTGAACCCACCGTCCATCCCCGTCGGCGCGGCCAATGGGCGCGAGGGCGGCGCCGCGCGCAGCCAATGGGCGCGGCGGGGAGGCGGGCGCAGGTGGTGGCCGCGGGGCGCTGCGCTCTCCTGGGCGCCCCCCCCCCCGGCCCGTTCGCTGCGCCCCCCGCGCCGCCGAGGGCCCCGCGCAGGTACGGCCGGACCGGCACCGGCACCGGGACCGCGCCCCGGCACCGGCACCGCGCCCCGGCACCCCGCGCTGCGCCCCCCGCCGGGCCGGGCCCGCCGCCGCCGCCGCTCCCGGCCCCGGCCCCGCCGCTCCCTTCCGGGCCCCCGCGCGGCCTCCCCGCAGCCCGGCCCCGCCGCGCTTTGTGTGGGTGGCACCCCGGGGTCCCCGGTCCCCCTCAGCCCGCGGGTTTGGGCCACGGAGGTGTTTAAATGGCGATGCCGGGGGTTACTCGGGTCAGTGTCGGTCCCGGGGTTCGCTCGGGCCCGGGGTTGGGGTGTGCGGAGCTGCCGCCGGCTCGGTGCGGGGAAAGCCGCGGGCAGGAAGGTGACAGCGGCCGGGGTTTGGTGCTCCATCCCTGCGGTCCTCCTCCGGAGCCTGTCAAAGTCTGCGGCCAGCCGGAGCTCTTCCGCTGCTGCTGCTCGTCCGTGTGTGCGGGACCCTCCGGTGTCCCGGGCCGGGGCAGCGGGGACGGCCCCAGAGCCCCGGGAGCTGCGGGATTTCTGTGCCCGGGCACCTCTGCTGACTTCTCCTCCAGCTGCTCCTGTTGGCATCAGCAGAGAAGATGGAGGGGATGTGGTGGAAGGGGAACTCTTCAGGAAACCCTTCCTGAGGGTCTGCAGAGGGCACAGGGACAGGAGGAGCTGTGCCAGGGCTTGGCACGGAGCTCAGGGAAAGGTTCGTGCCCCCGAGGGTGCTGGCACTGCCCAGGCTGCCCAGGGAATGGTCCCAGCCCTGTCAGAGCTCCCAGGGATGCTCAGGGTGGGGTTGTTGGGGGTCTGTGCAGGGCCAGGGGCTGCGCTGATGATCCCCGAGGGTCCCTCCCAGCTCAGGACGTTCTGGGATTCACCCAAAGGTGGTTCTTGGCTTTCCCGGAGCTCTTGGTTTTGAAGCTGTTCAGGAGCCAGAGGTGTTGCAGCTTTTTGGGCCCCTTTGTATTGAAGAGTGAAGTCAGCAGTGAGGTTCAGGTTCAGCCGTGCTCCCTCTGTTTTAAGGAAGCTGCTGCTGGGACATTGCATTTGTGCTCTCTAACTCCTTTGTGCTGGGCCAGTGTAAATATGTGTTATATCAAGTATGATCCTCCCAAAACTAAGTTTCCTTTAACCAAAAAGAGTTAATTTTAAGGAGCTCTGTCCATCTGAAACCTGATAGCATTTCACCCACAACATTGCTTCTTTCCTGGGAACTTTTGCTTTTTTCTCATTGCTTTCCTTTTCCCGTTTCACTGAAATTCACGGAGTCAGGGCAACCTTAAGCCTGGAATCTCAAATTTACAGTTATATTTCTGCAATTACATCCACTAACTGTTGGAGCACCCAGTAACTGCTCTGTGACAGCAAGTTCCCAGTTCTTGGGCTTCTCTGTAACAAGAGAAGGAAGTTGGGACAGGTTGACCAACTCCTGCAGTGCCAGGAGGAATCCTGAAGGAATCTTGATGGAATCCTGAAGGAATCCTGCAGGACTCCACAGCTGTTCCTGTCTCATGAGAGGCAGAAGTTCCTCCCATGCAAAGGAGATGTAGGTGGATATAAAGTGATTCCTTGTTCCAGAGCTGATATTCATGGGTGAAACATTCACTGGAGCATCTTTTGACAGGAAAATTCTGTCTAACACTCTGTGGTGGATTGTTCTTTTTATGCTGTTTGGAAAGAGATAATTCCCTGGACTGGCCCAGTGGGACCAGAATATATATGCTCCTATATATAAACATGATGTATGAAATATGTAATATATATATACAAAAGGACTTAAAATATATTTATATATATAAAATATATAGAAGGAGTCAGTCAGTAAGTCAGAACACTTTGGTAAAGACCCAAAGTACACAAGTGTCACGTTCCAAGTTTGGCTTTAGGGTGAACGTGGGCTTTTACAAAAAAACCTCACACACGTGAGAGGTTTCACCAGCTTTTGATGGGAAGTCAGGAGCAAAATTCACTTTCAGGGAGAATCCCACCCATTTCCTGTCAATAATCCTGGCTATTGGTCATGGGAAGTGCTCACCTGAGCTGTGGGGACAGCGCTGCTCTCACTGGGAACTGCTCTCAAATCCTGTCATGCACCAGAAAAAGATTTAGCAGATCAGGTGGGAGTTCCACAGCTCTGCAGGTGTTTTAGATCACCCAAAATACAGACAGCTCCTGAAAACTCTGAGCTATTTCCATATTAAAGGTCATAAGATATTCGATGTGAGTTGGGAAAACCAGTTGGGCCAGCCCTGCTGGAAGGGCACGGGAGCTCTGTGGGGATTTCACATTTAAGCAGGGTTATGTTTTATTTCCTCCTGGGATGTCCAGCTGCACTACAGCAAACAGTGTCAGCATCAGGAGGCTCTGATTCACCTTGCAGGTTTAAATCTCATTTTTGAGAGCAGGCAATCCACCTGAGAGCAGAAATAATCATTGTGAGCTGCAGGCTGAGCCACCCAGGCAGCGGGGAGGGAAAGCTCTTGGCAGTCAGGAGAAACTTGGTGTTCCTTAATTAATTCTGGGCAGTTGGGAGGGCTCGGGACTGGTGGATTTCCCCTTTCCTGACTCATCCAGAGCTGTGGGGAAGGGTTTGCAGAGCCTGTGCTGCTCCACGTTCCTTCACTGGAGCATCTGTTAATAGCAAAGATGGATGACAGCTAAATATGTCACCACAAGTGAGGGATTTGCTTAATGGATTTGGATGCCACTGGGATCCTCCAGGGCTGCACAGGGCGCTGCTGGAAATAATTATTTGTCATCTGGTGAAGAATTCAAGAGGGTTTGTCCGTTTGCAGTAGCAACTGAAATCCTGGAGTACTGCAAAAGGTTGGCAGGAATCCTGTCATTGCACACAGGTTGGGGGATATTAATGACTTATCACTGCGGGATGAGGAAGGTGTTTTTCCACTTTTAGTGTTTTCCACTAAACTGATTGTTGCTTAATAAGATTTTCTCTTTTTAACCTTTGCTGTGGACCAAATATGTTCTGTCTTGTCACAACTTAGGGGTAGAGGCATTTGCTACCATGGCTTAATTAAGGTGCTTATTTTCATTTATATTTTCATAGGGTAAATCACTCTCCTTTATAAATGAGGCAGTTCCTCAGTCATGCTCTTACTGGATTACAGAGCAGAACACATTTGTATTCTGCCCTTCCTTGGTCTGTGTGTGCCTCACTCATGGCAGGAGTAACCTGAAGCTTCATTATTTTTATGTTTTATGGGGCTCATGAACAAGCTACAGTGCCCAGATCCTTAGAGAATACAGGACTGTCCTTTTGTTCCTAAAGCTGCTAGAAATCCTGCTTTTGAATATGGCCCAAGAAGTAAATGCTGGAAGTGGGTCGGGGGTTAAGGTGATTTCTGAGGGTTTTCTGATACTCCTTCACGATTTTGGATACGCCCCAGGGCAATGGAGAGGCCTTTGGTGAGGTTTTGGTGCAGATAAAAAGTTTTAGTGAAGTTTCCCATATTTGATCTCAGTTCTGTTGGCAGAACAAGCGGCACAGCTTTGCCTGGGAGGGGTGTGTCAGGTTTGGAGCTGCAGCTTCCAGAGAGACCTGGATAAAACAGAGCTGGGAGATTCAAATTGTCTCATTTCACCTCGAAACTCTGCGTTTAATTGAGGCTTTAAATCGTCACTCCTCGAGTTACAGGTGGCTGAAAGGTGTGAAATGGCTGCGAGCTGGGAGAAGCTCAGGGGGGGCTGAGGGTCCTGGGGGTACCTGGGGGTTACCTGGGCAGGTGAGCCAGGGATTTTTTAGGGTTACCTGGGCAGGTGAGCCAGGGAGAGACTGGGGTTCCTGGGAGTACCTTGATGTACCTGGGCAGGTGAGCCAGGGTTCTGCAGGGCTGTGCTGGGCTGAGGTTCCTGGGGGTACCTGGCCAGGTGAGCCAGGGAGGATTTGGGGTTCCTAGGGGTACCTGGCCAGGTGTGTCAAGGTTCTACAGGGCTGTGCTGGGCTGAGGTTCCTGGGGGTACCTGGGCAGGTAAGCCAGAGAAGGGCTGGGGTACCTGGCCAGGTGAGCCAGGGAGGATTTGGGTTCCTAGGGGTACCTGGGCATCGCTGGGCAGGTGAGCCAGTGAGGGGTTGGGGTACCTGGCCAGATGTGCCAGGGTTATGCAGGGCTGTGCTGGGCTGGGGTACCTGGGGTTATCTGGCCAGGTGAGCCAGGGAGGGGCTGGTGTTCCTGGTACCTGGTTATCTGGCCAGGTGAGCCGTGGTTCTGCAGGGCCGTGCCAGGCTCGCTTCTCCTCTGGCTGAGCTCCAGGATGTGCCGGCAGCTGGAACTGGGTCAGTGTGTCACACCCGGCCTGGGCATTGCCTCGGGCACAAAACCAGCCAGGACTTCCTTTTGTATGGGCAGGATGGTTAAAAACGCCTCTGACAGCCCCATTTGTGGAGGGTTTTTGTTATAAAAGTCAAAAGGAGCTTAGAGAAGTCGAGCAAGCTGCTGAGAACTCCAGGCTTTTCCTTCTGGCAGGGTTGTGGAAGGAAAACTGGGAATTGGTCTGTATTAAGGTGTTATCTGATGCAGGTAGCATGCAAAAAAGCAATTTTTTTTGGGCAAAGCACTGTGGTAATCGAGGGTGCTGCTTGCTTTGCAAGGTTTCTGATGTCCTTTCCCATAAGAGACCGTGGATGCTTTATTTTAACATTTGCAGTGCTGCTGCCTTGGATTGAGGTGTTCAGATTCGACAGCTCAGTCCGTATGAAGTGCCTTTTATAAAGCTGGAGTTGTTTCTGAAAGACTCCTGAAGCCTTGCAGTGAATCCAGTGAAGATAAAATACAGCAGAGATAACTCGTGCCATGCAGCAAACTGAGGCTCCTGCAGTCCTTGGGAGGGCTGGGCCTCAGCAGTGGGTTGTGAACTGATTTGTGTGGGTTTAGGATGAGTTTATTCATCTGTTCAGCCAAACTTTTGAGTTTTTGAGGTTCTGATCTGGATTTAGTCAGAAATAACCTTTACATGTTAACTACCTTGCCTCAGGTAATAATAAACTGTTTTAAAGTCATCCAGATTTATTGCTCTTAAATGTAACCACTTTTTTTTCCCCCCTTTTAAATACTGTTTGTGACTAAATAATTTTGTTGTTAGAAAAATGTGTGAGTAACTGTGCACTTCTACAGCAAAGAGGGTGTTTTGGAGGAAAATTTTATTTTCCCTTAATGAGCTACATATGCTGCTTGATTTCAAGTACAGGAGGATCTGGAATTTTGGAGGAGTCTTGTGGAATATAAAATTTAATAGAAAATAACTCTCAATTTGTCAAATCCCAAGCACTGTAGGTCTTCATCCCTGTGCTGGATGGGAATGTTGTCTCTGTTCCTCTTTCCCAAATATTTCCTCTGTCGTGTTTACTTGGCCTTTATGGAGGATATATGAAACTCAAAGCAATATGAATATTAAAAATGTAATTAATTGAATCTATAATTATTTTGGGGGGAAAGTTGTTAGTTTAAATCCTTGCTGTAATTGTACAGTTGTTTAAAACTTGGCTGAGCAACAGCAGACTTCAAACTTAAAAATTTACATTTTCTTTGTCTAAATGCTGGAATCTGATTCTTGGGAATAGAGGGGAAGGAAGGAAACTTGTCTCAGATATCCTTAGCATTATAGTTTTAATATAAATATATATAGATTTTAGTAGTCTATTTTATACACAGACCTGATCTCTTGCAAGAGTTTGTCTTTGGTTCTGCAAAGAAACTTTGGATAGAGCCTGATCCATGAGAATTTATGGAAATCAGAGTAATTTGTTGGCTTAGAGAGAAAGGAAGTAGATAGAAATAGAAGAATCTGTCCTTTGTGTTCCAGCCTAATTCATGTAAAAATGCCATTTCAGATAAACACATGAGGTTTCCATTAATATTTGTTTACAGGACTTAATAGTTAAATAACGAGTTAAGAGCAAGTTTAAAGGAGTTTTTCATGAGCAGGGTTCTCATTATTGTTGGGGAAATGCCTCAAATACTGAATGAGACAGGAAAAGTTAATCTAGGCACGCTTGAAATCTGCATTTTATTGGTGTAATTTTGTGTCAGATGTCTGACACTGCTCTGCCCCATTTCCCAGCCCTGGAGCCAGAACCATCCCAGCTCATCCCGTGGACAGCAGAGGGACAAACAGCCACGAGCAGGGGCTCTGTCCCACCCAGACAGGAGATTTCCTCCTGTTGCCAGCTGGAGCTTTGTTCATCCCCTGGAATTCCAGGTTCTGCTCCTTCAGCAGGGCTTGGTGCCCGTGCCAGTCTGTGCCCACCTCCTGCGAGCCTCACCTGTGTTCTCAGGGCTGGCAGCATTTCCATTTGTGTTTTTAGCACAGCCCCAGGGAAAGGGAAATCCTGGGGGTGTCACAGGGTAGGAGGCTCCCATCACCTGGGCACAGCTTTACCCTCAGACCTGCTGCCTTCTCCAAAGCTCTCTGCAAGATCAGAAGTGGTTTTTGTGGTGTTGCTGTGCCCTCAGTGCTGCCAGGTCGATGCTGGCACTCGCAGCCACCCAGCAGAACCAGTTTGCTGTCCCTGGGCTGGCACTGGGGACAGGATGAGCCCCAGTGCTGCTGCCTAAAGCCACGTTTGTTCTCACAGCAAAACTGTTCTAGTCAAAGTCACCCCTGGCTCGTGGGTGGAGCAGAACGAGCTGACATTATCGGCTCTGCTGAGATCAATAGTGGGGCAGCAGCAGGAACTGCTCAGAAATCCCAAACCTTTTCCTAGAGGAAGGATTCCCAGTCCTGGCAGTCCTGTAGCAAGCTCGAGTCATTGATCCCAGCTGGATATCTTGGACTTTTTCTGTGCTGTACAAAGGTTTCAGTCAACAGGTGCAGGATTTCAGTCACAGAAATGTCTTGGTTCACATCAGTTTTGGAAGGGAAAAGTCTCATGTAAAAGTCATTGAAATTAAAACTCAGTTCTTTGTGTGCACCGAGATTGTCCCTCTGGAGACACGTTTTTGTGCTCCCTCACAATGGTTGAAAATTAGAAGGTTTTCATAATATTTCAGGCTGTTACTCTCTTACAAAGAAACAGAATGTATCCAGCTGAGAAAAATACCTTCACTCTTCTTTTCAGGAGCTAATGGGGGCTCTGACTGCAGAATCCTCCTTCTCAGTATTGAGGGAAGGGCTTGTTCCCATCTGGCCCTCACCCACAGTGCTGCTGGGCTGAAAGGGGCTCTCAGTGTTCTCAGAACAGTCAGATTCTGCTCTGGAACCTTCCAGTGATACTGGGAGCTCATTAGGACACTGGTTAATTGGGGCCAGCTCCTGAAAATCCCAGATGAAGCTGCAGCCCTGTCCTGCTGCCTTGTGCTGTGTGATCCCAGGAGCTGGGACAGAGGTGACCACGAGTGCTGGGACAGAGGTGGCCACGAGTGCTGGCACTGCTTTCCCAAAACACATCACTGCTCCACGTGGGAAGCACCTGAGGAAGAAATTCTCTTTTCCCCAAGCTTTTCCTGTACCCTGGGTGTTCCCAGCTCCCTGGGGCTGGTGGGGGAAGCTCCAACATCTCACTGAGGTCATGGACCTGATTCCCCCTTCCCATGAGCTCTGTGGCCATTTTGTTGTAATAGCTTAATTAGTTTGCTTAGCTAAAAGTACATTATCTAGGGTAGGTGTTGAAATGTTCTTTAGGTAGGACTGCACAAGGAAAAATCTTGTGTTTTGCTGTCTCTGGGCTAAAGAATTCCAGAGTGCCAGGTGATGCTGCTTGTATTGAGGCAGTAGACCTTTTAATTAATTAATTAAGCTTTGCAGGAAGTAATTTTATCCTTTAATTAATTGATTAAGCTTTACATGAAGTAGTTTTTGATCTCCTGTCCTTACTGGAGCATGTATTTTCACTCTTTGCTCTGAGTTTATTAACTAAAAATTGGAATTCTGTGAGAGAATCTTGAGGGAAAGATGGGATAAAGGCTGGCTTTGACTGTTTGTTTTCCCCCTGGTTGTGGGTAAAGCTGCAAATCCTGGGAAGCCTCTCTGGAGCAGATGGTGCTGGCAGGGCTCCTCCTCAGGACGGAATTCGGGCGCTGCTCCCGAGCCAGCTCCTCCCGGGATCCTGGCGGGGCTCCCCGCTCCCCTCAGCCCTGTGGCATTTCCAGACCCTGCTCAAAAATAGCCCCAGTATTCCTGGGAAGGTTGTGTCAGGGTTTGGGATGATTTCTGTCCCTGTCACTTCTCCAGCAGCCCCTTTCCCTCCAGCTCAGCCCCGTTTTCCTGGGATCAGCGCTGGCCTTTGGGGATTTGAGCAAACCTCTGGCAGATGGGTCCCCACAGCTCCCGTGGCTCATCCCAGGGATTTCCTGCTTGTATTCCTGCAAAACATTTGTGTAGGAAAGCCTTCCCATGGGCACGGATCAATCTGCTGCTTCTCCTCAAGTGGTGACCCTGAAACAAAAGTTTTTGTTCTCAAAGGGCAATTTTTGTTCCTTGTTTGGCAAGGTTGGGAATCTCCTTGGGCAGGGCCACCCTGAAGATGGAGGGGTTGGTTAAATGGCCCTTTTGTTTCCAAACTGCAACAATTTCTGTTGGAAATGGGAAGTATCTTGGGGTGAAGAGGGTTAAAAGGTATTTTTCTCCCTCAATTGGTTTTGCTCTGGGATTTCCTGCAATACTGGGATTCATAATTTTATTTTATTCTGGACTGGGTCTGCATCTCTGGCTCCTGGCTTGGGAAGGGCTTTTCTGCCTGTGAGAAGCTGTGATTTTATGCATAAAATTCCTTTAAATACTCCTTGGGGAAGGACGTAAGACTTGCAGATCCCTGTTTTGAAACACATTTGCATAAAAGTTACTGTGTAAAATTCTGTGTTTTCCGGTTTCTAAAATTTGCTCAAAACTGTTCACGTACCTTTGAAATGAAAAGTTTTACCCAGTTAAAATGAAACCTTGGTGCCCTGGGTGTGGAATCTGCCCACTCTAGTGTGTGAAGCTGGTTTTAATTCCAGGAGCTGGGAGCACTGGCTGTGTCAGGAGCGAGTTCTCACCCATTCAAACACAGATCTGGGAGTACTCCCTGCTTTATTTTTGTGTTTTCCTAACACTGCGAGTACTTCCAGGAGCATCTGCAATACTTCTTGGCTGCTTTGGAATCAGTTTAAAGGCGCTTTAAATGCTTTTTTTCCATGTAAAAGTCTGGCAGGAGCTGTTTTCCTGCAGTTCATCCTCCAAAGCCCAGCACTGCCATCTCGTGAGCGCTCAGGGTGTGGAGCTGCTGCAGCTCCTCGCATGGAGAACTCCTTCATGGGAATATTTGCAGCTGAAATGCCACTAAAACCTTTTATTTCCCTTATGGATTTCCAGCATAACCTTAAAAAAGTCTATTTTAAAAATTGTGATTTCATCCTGAATGGTTTGAGAGTTTGTTTTGGAGTTGTGCATCTTTATTTCTTGTCAGGCTTGCCTGACATTTCATTCTATTTCTGTACATTGCAAATACAAAGTGTAATGAAGCTACATTAAAAAAAAAAAAACCACCTTAATTTTGTCATTTTTAATGTAGTCTAGCACATGAAAAAACCCAAAAGTGGGGAAAGCTGTTGGGTTTGAAACTAAACAGAAAAAGGTGGAGCATTTTGGTGGAAAACGTGCAGTGTGGCAAATTTTACACCCTGACGAAGCTGAAGGTGGTGAGAAGTTGTTATTTTTGTGACACCATCCTGATGAGGCACCACATTCTGTCGTGAACTGGGGGCAGATGTTAAGCCCGTGGTCTATATTTAGCCTCTGTCCGAGCTCTCGGGTGATCCTGGGATCAGGAGTTCCTGACGAAGTGGATTTTTAGTGGAAGCTCCTCATGTCCATGCCAGAGGGTATTTCTAACAAATCCCCCTTGCGGGAGTAGAGGGAGGAAATGAAAAATCTCTCCAGGCTTTCTGTGGAGCTGCTTAGAGTTGGGAGTTAAAAGCCAAAGGTTTTAACCATCATCTTTTCCTGCCCCTTTCCTTCCTGTGCCCCTCTGTGTCCCCTCTGCAGGACTGGAACTATGGGGTCAGAAAACCCGAGCCCGCAGAACCCTGGCTGCAAGATCATGACCTTCCGGCCCTCGCTGGAGGAGTTCCGCGACTTCGGGAGGTTCATCGCCTTCATGGAGTCCCAGGGAGCCCACCGGGCAGGGCTGGCCAAGGTGAGGGGCTGGCCGAGGTGAGGAGTCACCAAGGTGAGGGGCTGGCCGGGGTGAGGGGCTGGCCGGGGTGAGGGGCTGGCCAAGGTGAGGGGCTGACCAGGGTGAGGGGTGGCCGAGGTGAGGGGCTGACCAGGGTGAGGGGCTGACCAGGGTGAGGGGCTGGCTGGGGTGAGGGGCTGGCTGGGGTGAGGGGTTGACCGGGGTGAGGGGTTGACCGGGGTGAGGGGCTGGCCAAGGTGAGGGGCTGGCCAAGGTGAGGGGCTGGCCAAGGTGAGGGCTGCTCGCGGGAGTGGAGCTGCCTTCTGAAGGCCCAAGATCTTGTTTGTGTTCGTGGAGGTGAGCACAGTGTGTTTTTTGCAACGCTGTACCTGGAATCTCTGGTTTGGGTATGGAGAGAGGAAAGGAGAGGAGCTACAGGGCTTTTATAGAGCCATGGAATGTCCTGAGTTGGGAGGGACCCACAGGAACATCCAGTCCAGCTTCTAGCCCTGCACAGGCACCACACCAATCCCATCTTGTGCATGCTGAGAGCTCCTGGAGCTCTGGCAGCCTTGAGGCTGGGAGCCTGGCAGTGCCCAGCACCCTCTGGTTATGAGAATTTTTCATGTAAGCTTCTAAATTCCAGTACCTGACACGGAACTGCTTGGAAAACTCCAAGACTAAGTGATTAGAAAGGGTGTTTCTGTTGCCATGTCAGCACGGGCTGATGAGATCATTTGTTCTGACAAGGACTTGTTAGGAGTGGTGTTTAGCTGGCCTTAATAAAGCACAGTGGAGAAATAAAGCTGTTAGGCATGAAATAATTCTTATTTCTTCTAAAACACAGGTCAATTACTGGGTTTATTGCTGCTCTAAAGAGCTGGCTATTGATGAAGAGCTCTCTATGGAATGTTTCCTTGTCCACTCAAGTGTACAAGCAATTACCTTCCAGGACTCTGCTAGGGAGATTATTTTAATAGAGCTTGTTGGTGACTTCCAGATACTGTAAAGAAATTACTTGACTTGTAGGATTAATCTGAGCATTCCAGGTTAGTTCTGTGTCTGTTGCAGCTGCAGCTCAGAGCCCTGTAAGGGAAGTCGAGCCCTTTGTGCCCACCAAACCCCACATCTCCAGCATCTGTAACAATTCCATGTTTTCGTTGTCCCCCGTTGCAGGTGATCCCCCCCAAGGAGTGGAAGCCGCGGCGGACGTACGATGACATCGATGACATGGTGATCCCGGCCCCCATCCAGCAGGTGGTCACGGGCCAGTCGGGGCTCTTCACCCAGTACAACATCCAGAAGAAGCCCATGACCGTGGGCGAGTACCGGCGCCTGGCCAACAGCGAGAAGTGCGTGCCTGCAGGGGCTTCAAACTGGGCATGGGGCAGCTCCTGGGAAGCTTTTCATTCCAGAAACTAGCTGGAAAAAAAAACTGCAGCCATGTTAAATGTGAAGTATTTTAGGGGAAACTGATTTTCCTTGAGTATCAAACAAGTTTGTAACGTGGTGGGTTTTGGTGTAGCTCAGATCTTTTTCTGGAAGTTGGTGTAGAAGGATTGTTCAAGGTCAGTGTTTGGCTTGAAAAGAATGGCTTGGGACCAAAAAAGGATCTCTTGGCTGTTCTTGAAAAGGTGTTCCAGGGAAATCCAAATACCTTGGGGTGCTTGGGCTGAGACTGGTGGCACGAGTGTCTTCCAGAATGCCTGGGGACTCTGCAGGGCACTTCAGTCAGCTGGGATGTGCCAACTGCGGTCTCATCCTGCTTCCAGAGTCGGGAGTTCTCCAGAGTTCTGGAAGACCCTGGGTTTTTATCAGCACTGAGTTTATGCAGTCGTGGCTTTAAGCTGAAGGAGGGTGGATTTAGGTGGGATATTGGAAATAAATTCCTCCCTGGGAGGGTGGGCAGGCCCTGGCACAGGGTGCCCAGAGCAGCTGTGACTACCCCTGGATCCCTGGAAGTGCCCAAGGCCAGGGGCTTGGAGCAGCCTGGGATAGTGGAAGGTGTCCCTGCCCATGGGACTGGGTGAGATTTAAATTTAAGGTCCCTTCCAAGCCAAGCCATTCCAGGATAATCAGCTTTGGAGTTTTCCTGCCACCTGAGAGCTGTGGGGTAACCTCACCTCACGTTTCCATGGGTTGGAAGTGTGGTGCTGCACATCTTGCCAGTCAGCCTTCCCCGAGAGGGTTTGTGCAGAGGTGGAAAAGGCAGAAATTCTGTGAATTAAAGGTGAATGCACCCTCAGCACCTGCTGTGCTGGCTGCTCTCAGGACTCCTCACATCCCTGTGTTCCCTGGCAGGTACTGCACCCCTCGCCACCAGGATTTTGAGGACCTGGAGCGCAAGTACTGGAAGAATCTCACCTTTGTGTCTCCCATTTATGGGGCTGATATCAGTGGCTCCCTGTATGATGCAGTAAGTGCAGTGCTTCTCCTTTATTTATTTCACACACAGATACTGACTTCCTTTTTGTACTTTTCTCTTTTAAGGAGCAGTAATTCAGAATTTCATTGATGTACCTGAAGCTCTGAGCTGAGGTAGAAGATTCTGCCCCTTTGGGCACATTGAGGTGTTTCTGATCAGGGGAAGAACATCTGAGAGGAGTGTGCTTTACCCTGAGTTTATGCTGTGTTCATTACCAGAATAGTTAATGCTATTAACTAGTTACTGCTGGGGTATTGCACAGTGCAAGAGCCTCTTCAGAGTGCTGGAGCTCCCTCCTGCCTGTGGTCAGAGAGAAACATTAAATAAACCTTCCTGGAAGCAGGGGGTGTTCTGTTAATGCAGGTGACACCAGTTCCTGCACACTGAGGCACTGGGAAGGAGCTGTGGGCTGTGCTGGCTCCTGACATTCCCAGTACAAACCATTTCTGTTGGGTTCCAGGACGTGGATGAGTGGAACATTGGCAATCTGAACACCCTCCTGGACATGGTGGAGCACGAGTGTGGCATCATCATCGAGGGTGTGAACACTCCCTACCTCTACTTTGGGATGTGGAAGACAACTTTTGCTTGGCATACAGAGGACATGGATCTCTACAGCATCAACTACTTGCATTTTGGGGAGCCCAAATCCTGGTAAGTGAGGGCTCTTGGACACCGCTAAAATATCCTTCCCCCAGCTCTACCAAATTCCATCAGGTTTACCTAATCTCTCAATTCCTATTTTTTCTCTCCTCTTCCCTCCTACTTCACATTTAAAAGCAATTTCACTTGCTTTCATGCTGGCTTGCTCAGAGGCCTAATTCCTGACTTTCAGCAGGATTAGGGAGACTTGTTGACATCACGATTAAAACCAGATTTCAGCACTTGGGGATTTTTGCAAACTAATGCACAGGAGAGCACATGGGGATGGGAATGTGTGGATGCTTCAGAGGCACTGTAATAGTCAAACACTGTTGTTCTTGCACTGTGCTCAAGGCAGGAAACATCTGTTACTTTCAGATTTCCATTATTTAAATACATAAATATGTTCACAACTCTAGGGACAAGTTAAGTGAAAAGGTTACTTTTCCATGGTCATTTTTTGGCGTGATGTTAAAGCATTTTTCAACACTGTTGATGCATAGACTGGTTGGAAATAACTTCCCACAACAGCAGTAGATAGTTAAGGATGAAATAAAGAATGTAGGAAGACTGGGATAAGTTACCAAGAGCCAATATGCTTCTTTTTAAAGCAATTTAAAAGTATAAATGCAGAGACTCAGCAGCCCAGGGGAGCGTTGCTGAAGATCTTGATGTGACTAATAAATATTGACATTTGCGTGCAAATTAGAGCAGAAATGTCACAGGGAGGCTCTGCTGTCACCGTGCCCTGGCAGTGGCAGACGAGATCCTCCCACCTCCCAGGGCTATGGCTCCCTGGTGGCTCTGGGTGTTGGTGCCTGTGGCACATAAAAGCCCCCAAGAGCCAGGAGGCTGTAAATGAATGGCTCCAGTGCTCTTTTCCAGGTCTGGAAAGGGTTGCAGGGAGGGGCTGACTGTATGGAACGTGAGAGGGAATTTTTAAAATCCTTCCAACACATCATGAAATCTGTTTCCCAGCATTCCTGAACCTTGGGCTCACTGTCTGAGGCAGATGCATGAGCATTTTGCAGAATCTCTTGTGATACTTCTGTTAAACAAGGTGGAGCTCCAGAAATGTGTTTCTGGATTATAACTGGGATGGGACTGATTGCAGGGAAAGGTTCTTCCTCCCTGAGGGTATTGGGGCACTGCCCAGGGAATGGTCACAGCCCCAAGGGTGCCAGAGATCCAGGACCATTTGAACACTGCTTTGGGACAGGATGGGATTTTGGGGATGTTCTTTGCAGGACCAGGGGTTGGACAGATGATCCTGTGGGTTTCCAGTTCAGAATATGATTCAGTTTGGATCCTGTCAGTTCTTCCTCCAGAATCCCTTAATTCCAACCCATTTTCCTGGTCCCATCTCCAGCAGATGGTGCCACAGCTCATGGGAAGCTCCTTGTCCCTGTTGCCCATGGAGTTCAGGGACACCAGCACAGTCCCAGGAGGAGCTCAGGGACACCAGCACAGACCCAGCAGGGGTGGCAGCAGCTGGCCTGAGCTTTGGGTTGGGTTGTTCCATCCTGTCTCCAGCCATCCTGTGTTTGTGAGAGTCACTCCTCTAAAGCTGCTCCAGCTGGGGGAAGTGAGGGTTTTGAAGACAGGCCATGTTTGGAGCAGAAGCTTTTCCCTTTCAGTGGAGTTTTCATAGGTAGGTGACAGTGTGTGACACAGAATGGGATGGGTTGAGACAGGATGCCACTGCTGCTTTGGCAGGGTCTCCCTGCTCTTCGTTGAGCATCAGGCAGGAGTTTGCCACTTCCCAAGCCCCTCCTTCCTTGTTCTGCACCATGACAGCTCCTCTTAAGGAGTTCTCCATCTCTTCTCTGAACAAGCATTGGCTGCAAAGAGTAAATCTGAATCCCCTTGGAGCAGATCTGGAACTTTCCAGGTACCTGAGCTGTTCTGGGAGTGACTGCAGCCACCCCAGAGCTCAGCTGGGGGAGCTCTTGGACTGCACTGCTGGAATTCCAGTGCTGCAGCCTGGCTTTGCTCAGGGATGGCTAAAATGTTCGTTCTGTTTTGCTGGCACCACCTCTGTGGAAATTTCCCAGCTTCCTTCATCCTTTTTATAGACTCCGTGGCTCTGACAGTGATCATCTTGGAAGCACCTCAGGGAATAGCAGGAGTGTGGAGAGTTACAAAGTCTACCAGTTTGGGGTTGAGCTCTAAAATAAGAGGCAGAGTTATTGTTTGGCTGTCAGAGATATTTATTCAGTGGAACCAAGGACTCTGTATATTGGTAGTATCTGCTTCAAAATTGCTCGTTAAAAACCATAACTCTTTCTTCAAGCCTCCCATAAATTATCTGGGAGTGCTTCTCTCCAGGCTGTGGGAAGGGTGAGGAGCCACCAGCCCTGCTGCCTTCTGGAGGGAAGGGGAGAATGAAGATGCTTCCCTCACAAACCTCCTTTGAGTGGGTTTTAGGAAAAATCTGTGTTTATTTCACAGAATCCCAGAATTGTTTGGGTTGGAAGGGACCTCTGGGGACTCCCCAGTCTAACCCCTGCCAAGGTGGGGTCACCTGGAGCAGGTGACACAGGAATATGTCCAGGTGGGTTGGGGATGTTTCCAGAGAGGGAGACCCCATGGGCAACTGTCCCAGAGCTCTGCCACCATCCAAGGAAAGAAATTCTTCCTCATATTGGGGTGGGACACCATCCCCTGACACCCTGGGGATGTTTGTATGGATTGATGAGGTGTTTGTATGGGTTGATGGGATCCTCTCTCAGCCTTCCCTTCCCCAGACTGTCCAGGCCCAGCTCCTGCAGCCCCTCCTCACAGCAGAGCTGTGGGAGAGCTGAAATTCCTTCTCAGGAAGCTCTGGGTGGAATGTTTGGACCACAGAGAACAATTCCTGGGTGGCAAAGGAATTGTTCTCCTGGGCCAGGGGGGGATCATTACTGAGTATTTAGTGTCTTTCATTTCTGACTTTGCACTGTTGGGTTTTCCCCCCTACCAGAGAATTGTTTTGGAGCCTGTTGTGATTGCAGGTAAAATCAATGTGGCTTCACCAGGCGAAAGTGGCTTCTTTGGCTAAAGAGCATCTGCCTGGTGTGACAAATCCGTGCTGAATGAGTGTCCCTGGCACTGCAGAGGTGCTGCTGCCAGCCCTCCCTGTGGCCCTGGCAGAGCAGGACAGGCTGCAGCGCTCAGAGGGGCTGCACTCAGCTGGGCACTGGCATGGATGCAGCTCCAGAGCTCCTCCAGCACCAAGAGAAGCAGTTGAGCAATGAAAGGTCACCCAGTGACGAGGGAGAGCAAGGGGGTAATGGAGAACAGCCATCTTGCTGTTTCCAGCCTCATTAAATGATTTATCTGTGCCTGTAGATTGCAGTGCATTTGTTTATTGAGTTGTAGCAGGGCTGTTTGTGTTCATCCCACCCTGCTCTGGGCTGGCCTCTCCTCATTCCAGGGGGATTTTCCCTCTGGATGTGCTGTTCCCAGGCACAGGCTCTGCTCCTCGCTCTGCTGCTGTTGCAGCTGGAAACTCAGTCTGACAGCGTGAGCAGGAGGCAGGGGAGGTGTGGGCACTTCCCACGCTGCACCCCCGGAGTTGGGAGCAGTTGTGTAACCTCACGTGAAGCCCCTCAGGCAGGGAGCTGCCAGATCCAGCCTTTCACTTGCTTTTTTTCTAAAATTACAGTAAAATGTCCCTCTCACATTAGGAATTTAATTGCCACCTTTTCATAGTCTCAAACTTTTGAAAAAACTGAAATGTATTTAATTCTGCAGCCCCATATTAAAACTCTCATGGTGGGAATTTTTGCTGTATCAATTATACATATTGTGTATAATTACCTCATACACTCCTGTGTGAGATGTAAAATTGAGCATATTGTCAAACGGTGTGAGCAGAAACTGATTTTATAATGACAGAAGCAACAAAGCTGAGTGCCAGGCCTCATTCTTCATGGTTATTATGGCATTTTATTGAGGAATGGATGTGGCTCAGCCTTTGCAATTCCAAAAGAATATTTTTAGACGCTGAGGTGCTCCACCAGCACTTCCTTTTATCTCCATAAAAGATGTGCAATCCCTACCTGGAGGCTTCCTGGCGTGGGGAAGTGCTGCAGGGAAACTTTGAACCTGAGTATTGTAAATTTGCTTGATACACTTTAGGAGTGTAACATCTTGTTTTGTCAATACCACCTGATTGGGTGATACAGTTATTTTTCTTGGATATTTTGTGATCTTGCTGTAACAGTATTTAATTTACCTTCCCTGAGTGCTGGTGGGATGTTACACTCTTCTTCTCTCAGAAACCGCAGGTGTTAAACCAGACTGACACTGAGGAAGGTAATTGATTTTTATAAAATGTCCCTTTTCCCTTATCATGATGGATGTTTAATCCCCTTTAATTAAAACAGGGAGCCAGCTTTAGCTTTTAAGTTATATCATCTCCTCTCCAAAACACTCCCTCGCTGGAAGTGGATCATGCCTAATCTGTTTGACTTTGATATCGCAAAGTACACTTTATGCCAGAACAGCAGTTTGTGTGGAATTAAGGACAAATTACCAAAGGAACTTTAAAATAATATGATTAGTTGGAAGCACTGGTCACAGATACAGTTACATTCCAGAAACACTTCTGGAATTCTGTCTGGTGAAAGTCTGAGGACTGCAAACCTGAGAGTCCATGGAGTTACCCCAAACCTTTGCTGGCTGAAGTATTTTAGAATTTCTGCTTTCTTCCCTCCAGGTGCCCAGCAAGGCTTAATGTGTGGGACAAGTCCAGTCAAGGAGCAGGCAAGGAGGGCAAATCCTCCTTGTGGCTGCCCCCGGATCCCTGGAAGTGTCCAGGGCCATGTTGGACAGGGCTTGGAGCAGCCTGGGACAGTGGAAAATGTCCCTGCCATGGGAGGGGTGGCACTGGGTGGGACTGAAGGTCCTTTCCAAGCCAAACCAGTCAGGGGTTCCATGGCTTTCTTGTAGCATCTAAAGTTTAATGCATTTGTAGTATCTGGTAGTGCTGCTGTCAGCAGGGAAAGCTGACCTTTCCTAACAGGCCT